CTCGGCTGCGGGGATGGTGCAGCCGGAGGGAAGGTAGGAATGGCTGAAAAGGTGAAGCTAAAGTGCACCATGAGGTCAGAACTACTAGAGTAAATATAATGTTAGCGTGGAAAGTGGAATTAGACTATTTGCAGACCCTGTCAGCACTGCCTCTCCGGAGAACGGGACCTGCTGGTGCCCTTCTTTCTCAATAGGCACAGGGCCCCTTGCACTGCTTTCTGCTGTGACGCAAAACCACGCTCCAGCAAAGAGAACGCTCCACAGCCTGAGGCCAGAGGTAAGAAAGGAGAAATGTTCCCTGGGCTAGGAAATACATCAAGACTGACAATAGGAGGGACATTACCTGGCAGGAAGAGAAGTAAGAACTAATTTGTATCGTACCTAATGAAGCTTAGGTTTTACGTTGGAATAAGCAATGTTCACTTATCAACTAATTGTTATAATAGCATTCTCCAGCAGAGGGCATACTTTACATTGAAATAGATCTAAAAAGGCCTTCAGCCAAGAGGCTTTCATTTGAATTTTTCAATAGTTCAATATTTTTGGTTTCTAAATAGTTTAAAAATATTTTAAAGTACTTAAGGTCCAGAAGATGTTAAATATGAAATTTCTCAGATTCCAGTTAATATTTCTGTTTTATTAAGAAAATATTCACATTCTGGTTGCAAAATGAGACAGTTTTTTCCCAGGGCTTTTGAACTGGTCTTAGACACATTCTATCATTGTAAGCAAAGCTGTCCTTTTTTGTGTGTTGTTTACAAAATTATTAGAGAAAATCCTATCTCTTAACTGGATGAGCATCATTTCTCTTCATTCCAATAGAGTTCTATATGAATAACATTTTCTTTAACAGAAATAACCAGCATTTTCTGATCTGTTTCATAACTAGCTTTGATATTTTCCATAGAGGAAATAACACCTATATAAAAGTTAACTAAATGTATTATGTAATAAAACTCCAATATTCTAAGTCTCTTTAAGCTACAACTTCATGAGAATTTAAGATTTATTTCTCTTCATGATTCATTTCCTTGATCTAACAGAATCGTTCTCACAACAAATGAGAAAGTAGAAACTACTATTTATATTAAAAAATTTTTAAAGGTTAAATCACTTGTTAGCAGTGGCTGAGCATAGATCTGGAGACCGAGCTGCCTGACTCCACAGCACATGTTCCTTTCACGGTGACACCCAGTCTCCAATTGACTCTATTTTATCTGGTCTATTTTTAAATTATAGACACATGATTTTTTTTTTTTATTAGGACATAGGTTCAGATTGACATACTGTAAAAAGTATAAAGAGTGAAACAAGATATTCCTATATAGTCAACTGCAAGAATTTTTGGCTTAAAAACTCAATAGGTTGGTTTAATTTTGGCATCAAACACTTTCTCAATCTGGCTTTTTGGGGATGTGTGTGTGTGTGTGTGTGTGTGTGTGTGTGACATGATTTTTAAAAATGAATGCAGGGAGAAAATCTCTGGAAAGGACAGTCTCAGTGTTATAGGAAATACAATAAATATATTTTCTTTTATTATTAAAATTCTTATTTGTAGTACTTACATGTCTATGAAATAAAAGATATATCAAATGCATAAGAAATTTCTGTCTAGGAAACAAAAATATTTTTGTGTTGAGAAACTGGAAACTTATATATTCTTAACATGACAAACAAATAGGCCCCTATATCATTTCATAATGATCTCTTACAGAAATTATTGCAATTAATTTTGTCAGCAAGATAGAAGTATTCTTTTGTTTGTGTGCAGAAAAAAAGTGTCAACTAAGTGTAGGTGTTTAAATTAAAGTTAACTAAAGTCTATGGATGAAATCAGAAATATTAACAAAATAAAACAATCCCTCTAACTTTTTTTCTTGCAAAGAGAAGCTGTCTGTGGTGATCACTCTGTAAGCTATTTAAATGTGAACTCTCACTATGTTCTGTACCTGAAACTAATATAATATTTTATGTCAACTGTATTTTAATTTGAAAGATCTTTACATTTCAGAGTAAAAATTAGACATGAAATTTTAAAAAGACAGCCTGTTTCACATTGATAGAAAATCTGCATTATGAAGAAAATGTCTAGGTACTTAAAAAAAACCTTTTTTTTTTTTTTAGAAGTATGGGTAAGTGTGGGTACAGGATTGTTTGCTGGGTTACACAGAGAGTCACACAGATCATCAGCCATGCATAGTGTTGGGTAAAAGGCTCTGGAATCCTGAACATAGATTCAGAAAACGGGGACTTCCAGCTCTGTCCTATTCTAGCTGTGTGATCTGGATAAATGATTTAACCTCTCTGACCTGTGGTTTCTCACCTATAAAACTGAGGAGATAATGGGTATCTAGCACATAGGATCCTCAGAGTTTAACATGTAATTTACATTACATCGGTGAAAGCTCAGAGCTCAGTGACACATCGCAGATTTATTTGTTAGATGAAAATAATCCAAATAATGAACTAAATAATACCCTATTTTTGGCAGCAGTTTTCTTTTAATACTCACTAATTATTTGTGTACATTGCATTAAAAGAGTCTCCAAATCATATGTATGTTAGAACAAAGCTTGGGGAAAATCTTGACTTTACACTTACACGGAGCAGATTATGCTTTAGCTGCTAGTGATTACAGAGGAAATGGAAATCAAATTTAATTTCCATTCGGATTACACTTAGTTGGAAACTTAAAGATACAGTGTTTGATTTTAGGTAATATTTGTAAGTATTTCTCTGTATTTGTGGCATTGTTTTCACTTCTCAGTACCACATTTAATACAATGAATGAAAACCATGTCAAAATTTAATTTTTTGCCTCAAAAATCTGAGTTTTTATTTCTAAGATCAAGAATTATCCTTGCATTGACATTTTCTCCATTTCATTTTTCACCTTGCCTTTTTCTTACAAATCATATTCTCTTTTCATCAGTACATCTGCCCAAAACACTCTTCTACTTGACAGTTCTATCCCACACTCGCCTATGAGCTTCTAACAAGGCATACCTCTGGGGATTGCAAAGTGCCATATTTAAACTCTCTCAGTGAGATGTACAGGTTTTCCCGTGTGATCATAAGGGATTCCTCAAATCTGAGTTTAAGAGCTAATCTACGACAACTGATAAGCACAGTATTTTCACATTAGTATATTTATGTTGTGCTAATGTATTTAAACAGTATGTCCGCCTATTGAGAATTTTTGTACAAATTTCTTACTAGCTTTCTTTTACCTTTCAAAGACAATATCTCTCACATTTTAATTGGCCTTGGCTCTAATTCTGTAATTTCTAAACTAAATAGCCTCATCCCTGTTGCCAGAGAGCGGTCACAGATGTCGCAGATGCTCTATGGAATACTAGTCGGCAATAAAAAGGGACAAATAGCTGGCATAAACAATATGGATCCATCTCATACCGCCTATGCCAGGTTAAAGAAGCCAAACATACAGGCTCTGTGCTGCGTAAATCTGTTTCTATGACATTCTGGAAGAGACCGAAGTATAGGGACACACCAAGTCTGTGAGTGCCATGGGACAGCAGGCGGTTCCTGACCATGAGGCGGGGTGGGGGCACTTGACAGCTGGTGGAAAAATCTTGATTGTTTTGGTGGTGACAAAACTACGCATGTTTATCAAACATCCAATTATACACCTAAAAAAGTCATTTACAATGTGCAAACTATACCTCAATGCACCTGACTCTAAATATAACTGGCTAAACAAAGAGAAGATACCTGTAGCTTTAGGGAGTTGTGTGTTGTTTCTTTCCAGAGAAGTTTTAGTGACAACATGCTGTTTGCCTGTTTTTCACCCATTTCTATTTCCAGTCTAAATGCGTGGCGCCCAAACTAATTTTCAATGGCTAAAGGCTACTTGAATGTAATTTATTTAGTGTGCCTGGCAGCTTTAGCATGAAATGATAGTCATCTAACAAGAGTAAGTATTGTGAAATGATATTAATTGTAAGAAGAACATTATTAAATTAGAATCTTACCCTGGAAATACACCAAATACTTCAATTTTATGTCATTTTCCAACCACCAGTGATTAAAGTGCTAAGAGCTGATCTTACTTAATATTATTGAATGGTTATCTGATATTATGAGGTAAATTTTACTAGCCTCATTTTAAATAAGAAGAAGTTAGACACAGAGCAACTGTAACAGCAAATTTGACAGATCCTTCCTATTCCAAAGCCAGCATTTGTAACCATCTTTCCTTTATTGTTACCAGTTTGGCAATAGTTCTGATCCTTGAGGACTGGATTGCAAAAATCCTTGGAAATAAACCATGAGGAGGGATGTCTTCCCTTGAAGGAAAGATTTTCAAAAGGATTTGAAAATGAGTGCTAAAAACCGAAAATTGGGATTAACAAGGCGAGGGTGTGTTCTTGCCACTCACACTAACTGTAACCCTTTGATAGAAGCTCAGTTGCCTTATAGGAAAAGAACATTTACTTGCAACCTCACATAGGCTCTAGTACAACTGCAGTGCCAGGTTTTATGATATTCTTCCTGAGCAAATTTTTAATATTTTAACTTTCTTTTTGTCACTGAACTGCTGTTTTAATAACCATTAGACCCATGTATTTTATTACTTTTTTACTTTATTCATTAACTGTCATTTTATGTGAGAATAAGAGTTTCTATATGATATTTTTTAATGGCATTGGCAAGCCTAGATCTTTTATTGGACAAAATTTACATGAAGGGGGGAATGACAAAAGTCATAAATCCTTACAAATTTGCATTAGCTCTTGTGTTAGATGTATGGAGCTTTAAGTAGGTATGTGTACTTGATTCACTACCTGGCAACTTCTCATTCAAAGTAGAATTTTTAAGTGTAGCTTGCCAGAAACTCTTACCTTTTATTCATAATTATGTGGGTGTGCCTTCCCAACTTGCATTGAACTGTATGTACTGTGCGCTGTAGAGGTGTGCAGCTAAAATATGTTTATCCTCAGAAATATTTTAAAAATATTTTAAAATGTTTTCCTTTGCAGAATCAGACACAAGTTTGGCAGAAGGAAGTGTCAACTGCTTAGATGAAAGTCTTGGACATAACAGCAACATGGGCAGTGATTCAGGCACCACGGGAAGGGATTCAGGTACTGCCTGACTGTTGTGTAAACCTTAAAAAGTGTGAAATGAGACGCCATATAGTGGAAAGCGTGGGGGCTGTTCATACCCTCCCTAATGTATTTATGCAATGAAAGCAATTCTTTTCTACAGTTGAAGTAGTTTTGGAACTTTGCCACTCACTTCCTTTAAAAGTACAACTTACAGAAGTCTTAGAATCAAGCTCTCTAATTTCGATCCAGTACATATCGTTTTGGTCTGGCATATGCCACATTCCATAGAATCATGTTATCTAGTTTATTTGTGAAATCTGTTTCAATTAATTTGACTGTTTTAAATTCTATATAATTTGGTACAAGTTTTCCAAACCCTAATTTTTTGTATTAAAATACATTTTTAAATAAAAAATTTGAGTCTCTCTTTAAATGAAAGACTAGAAATTACACATACACTTAAAGAGTTCCAAATCTCTTGCGCAGGAGTAGAGTTCACAAAATATTTTGTCCCCAAATGAGAGCTTTATTAGGTGTTTTCCAAATTGCTCTCTGCGTTAGTTAAATATCCCATCAGCAATAAATCAGAGTGCCTCAGGACACTTGAGCAATACTTCCTGTTTTCAGATTTCCTAACTTTTGTCAGTCTGATCAATTTCAAGTAGCTTCTGTTTGTTCTTTGATTGTGCATTTCCATTATCATTACTGAGCTAAAATGTTACTGTCTTTTAAAAATGGGGGATGCATTCTTGGATGTCTGTTACACACTTTTCTATATTTGTCTATGTTTGAAATTATCATAATTAAAATTAATAATTTACAAACAAAAAAGTGCTTTGCAATGTGTCCCTCTAAGAAGCAGTAGGAAACTGGCAAATTGAGAAACAAATTACTTTAGTCTTTGTTTTGTAATTGAGTTGTAGTAAACCCATAGAAAATATTTTGTACTTCAGATTATCCTGCATTTTCAGAGAATTATAGAAATGTAGATCTGCAATAGGCTTAAAGGGTCAAAACAATTTACATAAGGATGTTTACCTGCTCTAAAAGCTTTCAAATTGGAATATTTCATCTCTTATTTAAATGTCCTTTCTCTCAATAACACCCTGAATTCCTTGTAACAAGTTGGTTTGAGGAAACCTAGTTCACCAAATGTCAGTAATAACATTGTTTAATTAAGAAGGGTTAATTCATTTTCTGTTCAATTCAGTCAGTGTTTATTAAGTTCTTGTCATGTGCCTATTTCTGTGGATTATATTTATTTTTTTCTATGCTTGTTATACAGTTGTCTAATTTAATTATAAATGTATAATTAAATGTTATTGATTCTAGAATTCAAAATATACTTTAGCTAATAGGTAACATTTTACGGGTAGTTTTCAGCTTCTGGACCTCATCCTAATATTTGTTTGTCCATGGAAGGGCTTCTCAACAATATTCATTCATTCAATAAATGTTTAATGGCTGTCCTCTGTGTGCAGGGCGTTTTATCTAGTTTGAGGTGCTAGCAAATGTAACTATTTACTAATTTTCTGTCCTCAATGTGGCATGAAAGACGTGATAAATCTAAATGCAACCTACTTTTAAAAAGCAAATACATTTTCAAAGGCAAATACATGTGAAGACAAACACATTTTCAAAGGGTACGCATTAACGTTTTAGGTGGGGTCAGCGCTTAGGAAAAAGAATTGCTTTGCATAGTGGGTAGTAGAATTCTGAAATTATAAAATTATTAAATTCCTTTCATTAGGTACGTAATACAGGGTGAAATAAAAATCTTTTTTTTAAAAAAGGTTTAGATGAATCGCTAATTGGTAAACACATATTGAATCACTGAAAAGCATTACAGTGTTTAGGGTTATATTTTAACCTTTGAGGTTGACATCGAAGGGATGTTATTCCACATGTCCTTTGTCCACCTTCAGAGGTTACATAATAGGCCATACGGATCATGGACATGACCCAATGCCACGACATTATTATCCTTTGTGAAGTATTATGCCATAGTAAAAGATAATTAGTGATGCTTTCAAAGTTTAAATATTCTATTTATACTATGGAAGGCATTTTTGTTTTCTTTTTTTCATTTTCAGAGAGATACTCTGCGTAACACAAAGTAGCAAAATTTTTTGCAGTACACATTGGCCTGATATGTAGAAAGTGTTTCCTTACTATTTCAAGGTAATACCTGTTAATACTTGTCCAGCTGGAATGGTGTATTTTTTGTGGTTTCATACTATAGGTAAAAGAGTACTTTTTCAATTTCAAACACATGCGGTGACAGACCTTTTCTCTCCAAGAATAACTCAGCTGTCAAAATCAATGTGAGAATGAAATTTGCCACATGGTGTAGTTCCAATAGAATGTTATTATTTAAGCCCTATTTGATTTAATTTTTCTGACCATTTATATGGTATAGTATAATTTTAAGCCCTTTAATCAATATTTGTTTTAGAGGAAGGGCATAAAGTTATTCAAAGCCTGCACATATTTAAAACACCATTTTCATTATTGCATTTAATTGATATGCTTTTCAAAGAGAGCCAAAAAGAAACAAACAATAAACAAACACAACCCAAACATTTTTTTTTTATAAAGGAAATTGGCTGCTGGCACATTGACACCAGTCCAGTTCTCTCCTTCTGGTGACAGAAAAGAGAAAATTTTTCTTTTCATTGCTTATGGGGATAAATTCTTCCATTTCTATGTCAGAGGATGTGATAAGGCAAGAATCAGGCTGAATATTTAGCACTCACCCAGCTCTTTTCCTTTGGATGCTATTCTGACAATGAATCCAACTCTAATTTTTTCCATATTCACTCTGTGCTTCTCTTTTAAACTTGGGGACACCCATCAAGTTTCTTAGATTTGACTCAAAACTGTGGGAGATCATTGAACTATATTTCTAATAGCCAAATATTTTTAGTGGCAGCAGTGTAGTACCTTAGACTCTGAAATCCATGACGATAAGGATTGTATCCTTGAGAACACATGGATATAATAGGCACCCAGTAAGTAGTTACTGTAGAATGAATTAATAGTACACGACTAGTTAAATGGCAGTGAGATGTCACGACCTTGATCCCAGACTTGTTTGTACATGACAGCCTTTTCAACAGTCTGTCTTCTTAAGTGTATTAGTACATTATTAATGTGTATAAGTGATATTGATGTTCTACTCATTTGACTTAGTTTTAGATTCCCAGGAAAGACACTTTGGAAATTGATCTAAGTTTCTCTGGAAAAACATGAAAACAAAAGGGGGAAAATAATGTTTTTAAAAAGCACATACAGCTGTCATGAGGAAAGCAGAGATTTATTATTATTTTTTAAATCTATGGAAAAATGTACCTAGAGTTAAATTAAATGAAGAGAATTTGCTATCTTTTAACAAACTTCTTATATCAAAGAGTAATTTATCAAAGTAAATTTTTGGATGTTGTTGTTAAACGCAATTTAAAATACATCTTCCTTTACAAATATTGTGGCTCTTTTAGAAAAGCCATGTGACACTCATAATATAGATGGAATATTAAGATTTTGGTAATCTATAGCAGCCACTTAAGTAATGATACTCTTAAATAAATGTGAACCTTCAATAAATATAATAGAAGATGGATTACTATAATTGATGTAAAGTTCAAAACAAGCACGGAAAGAAAACTTGTAAATGTGTATTTTTAACTGTTGGTGATCTTGAATGAGTCTTTTCTGAAAATCATATTAAGTGAATCAGCAGCTGATCCAATGATAACTTAAATGTATTGCATCTGTGTTTACTCATTCATACAGAAGGCAAATTTCCTGCCGGGTTAGTAGATGACTCTTCTAAGTGGTATTTGGTGTGAATTTTCCTACCTATTCAGATGGTACTATCACAACAAGTTAAAACACAGTTAAATAGAATCATCCCTTTGCTGAAATGGAACCATCAGCAACTTTTTTGAAGTTAATGGGATTATGTTAGCTTAGTTTTATTGCAGTCGTTGATAAGGGAAAGGACACTTACTTCATGTGTAATGAAATACTGATAAGTACTGTCATTTCATTTTTTTCTTATGATTACATAAAGCATGAGTTAAGCTTTTAAACTGATACAGTATTTATTTTACTGCATTCCACATGATAAGTTATACATTTTTATATCTTTTCCCCCTGGCTAATATAAATATATTCACTTCTAAACAAAAGACATTTAAACCAAGGTGTACAATAATAATTTTATCCAAATGTTTATAAAATTAATGTATGTTAGTACTTACTTTATCAGTATATTAAATTTAGAAATCTATGTTAATTGGAAATATTTTTAATTGCGCCTTAAGTTTCAGGAAAATGTGAATATGTGGAGATATAAGGAAGTGATAAAGATCACAATTTAAAATTAAATGGCAAAATTAGCCACAATTCAGTTTAAACTAACAATTTTTTGTTGTTGTTGTTCAATGAAAACTATAAATTAAAGGCTGGTATGGGAAGATTTTTTTCCTTTTTCCATACATATTACTTCTGTTTAATCTGTTTGGTTCAAATGCCAAAATTGGTTTTTGTTGAGGTTTTCTTTTTTTTGCCATTTTTAGATATTTGAGATAGATAGATAAATGGTAGATAGATAGATAAATAGATAGATAGATAGGAGGTAGATAGGAGATAGATAAATGGATGGATGGATCAATGTGCACACTTTTCGTGTTTTGTTGTTAGACCAAGTTTTTCAAATGAAGGAGAGTAGTATCAGCTATGAAATCTTTTCTGCAATAAAAAGTAGGGGGGAATACAGAACAAGGAGGACTGATGGTTCCTACTTATCCAGTTCCCCTTGATTTATAGGTAAAAGGCTAAGAGAAACATGTAAGACATGATGGCCCAACAAAGAAACAGAAAGTCTGGTGCATGAGGAACGGTAACTGCCAGTCTGGCACCTGCCTGTGCTTTCCCTTTGACTTTGCCCATTCTGTGAAAAGACTCCCACATGTTGCCCACCCCCCCAGGCTTCTTCCATGACAGAGAGCCTGGGTTTTATCCTGCAAATGCAAACTGGTTTGATACCCATTTGGTGCAGAAAATAGTAAATGAAATTGTTTGGACCATACACGAAAAGCAGTTTAAACACAGAAGCTTATGTTCTGGGTGAGGGTTTCTTAGCCTTGGTCATTTTATTGCTCATTCCCTTATTTATTTATTTTTCTCTTTTTTTTCTTCCTTTTAACTTGTTCAGATGAAGAAAAAGAGGCAGCCAAAGCCTCCCTTGAGCCAGAACTACATCTCAGGCCTTACCAAATGGAAGTTGCCCAGTCAGCCTTGGAGGGAAAGAACATCATAATATGCCTTCCTACCGGGAGTGGGAAAACCAGAGTGGCTGTTTACATTGCCAAGGATCACCTGGACAAGAAGAAAACAGCGTCCAAACCAGGAAAAGTGATAGTCCTTGTCAACAAGGTATTCAGACAGCACATAATATAACATTGTTTATTTTCATTTTATTATTTTGAAGCATTTGCATGATGGCATTTGTAACAATACATCACACAGATTTGATTTAATGAGGAAAAATATCAAAGCAATTTATTTTATCTTATACATTTGCTTTTCAAATTATATGTAATATCTTAGTTATTAGCCTTTAAAGTGGATTTCTTTCTATAAAATCAAATTAAATCAAATAGCTGTACCTTCTTTATAAAGAGTGTATTTACACACATATTCTTTAAAGTTAACTGGTACTAATTTATTATTGCACGTGAACATAAATGACCTCAAAATATCACTGGAATCTAGGATCAAATATTGTCTTACAGAGTCTCATTAACCATTGTTTCTAAGTCAAAGGTGGCAAGTGCTCTTTAAGAGAAAATTAAATTAATATTTGGCTGACTTATACCAAGTTAGATAGTTTTCAAAGACTTTATATATAAAAGATACATATTAAATGCAACTGGGGAGTTCTTTAATAATTCCTATCTTGGGGCATTTGAAAGCCATCTTTAGAACCATGTATAAGTCTCCATTTTAAACGAAGTCTAGTTATTTGAGCTTTATTTGGATAAATGAGAGTTTATTAATTTATACACATATAAATTGTGGATATTAATCTTTAACACTTTATGGAGTAAAATTGAATATAGTTTTCCATGAGCAGAAAGTCTTTTTTTCCCATTACTCATGGTAATTAGATTCTCAGTTATTTCTTTGCAGAAAATGCAGCAATATACTATGCAACTTTCCTGTATCTTTTGTATTTCTATTATGAGAAAAGTTTTTAGTTGCAACCTGTTTTTCTTTTAATCCTCACCTGAGGATATGTCTATTGGTTTTTTTAAAGAGAGAAGAAGGGAGAGCAAGAACAAGAGAGAGAAACACCGATGTGAGAGAGAAACATCAATCAGTTGCCTCTGGCACATGCCCCAACGAGGGATCAACCTAGCAACCTAGGTATGTGCCCTGACTGGGGATCGAACCTGCAACCTTCTGGTTACAGGATGATGCTTCAACAAACTGAGCCACCCAGCCAGGGCACAACCTGTTTTTCAGTACTAAAGAAACATACTCAGAATTCATGATCTAAATGATTCCATCATGTAATTACAAATGCGTTTTATATATATGTATATGTGCTAAACCTAAAGACCTCTCCTTTATACTTGTATGCACATTATTAGAACAGTCTTCTTTCTTTTGTGGTAATGGTGATACATTAAAATTTTTATATAGCTTTTCTTATATTCCTTTTATTAAGGATATCTTTTGGACTACAATAAATGGAAGCGTTTGATCTTGGACAAATTACTAACTCACTTTAGTTTTCTCATTTGTAAAAGGAATAAAATAATGCTACCCTGTATAGTTTTTCAGAAGTTTAAATGAGATAATCTAGCTAAAGCCTAGTAATAACTCAGTGAATATCAGTTCTTTCTTTTACTCCTTCCTCTTCACCTTCATAATTAATGAAATAAAATTTCATATGTTTTAACCAATGAGCAAGGTAATAAGTGTCAGGTCCAGAAAAGAAAACAAAACAAAGTTAGCTGGATTCAAGACCACTTACTGATTGGTAAGAACCAATGCTGATGTTCTTAATCATTTGAACTTCTTCCATTCACTTAATGTAAGTCTCCGCTACTCTCTCAAGTAGCTCTTCTACTCATCTATCTCTCTGTTATATCACTTCCTCCAAAGGTTGTAGCCTCAAAACCTAGGAGTTAGTTTTGATTCATCTGCTTCCTTTACTTCCCTTACAAGGTCACAGTGCCATAGACTATTAGAGTTGAAGGATGCCTTCAAGATCCAGCTTTCGCCCATTGCCAAGTGGTTCTCTCACGTCTGCTGAGTAACTTCTCATATCAAGGATGTCTCCCTTCTAACAAGACAGCTCGATCTATTCTTTGAACAGCTGACACTGTTAGAAAACTTTACATGTATTCATCAAAATCTGTTTCTCTGGAAGCCATTCTCATTGGTTAGAGTTCTTTTCTCTGTGATGATAAAGAACAAGTCAAGTTGTAAATCTCTTGTCTTATTACAGCCCTCCACATAGAGAAGGCAGCGAGCATCATGCAGCATCTAAGTTATTTTTCTTTTTGGTTCCTGGGATACACATCCCTCCAGTTCCTTTCACTGTTCTTCATTTAACATGATTTCCAGACTGTCCATCATCCGGAGTGCTCATACTTTTCCAGACATTTATCTCAGACCCTCTTAAAACACAGAGTCCAGTGCTGAACAAAATACTATAGATACAATTTTACAGTGCAGAGTTTAGGAGAGAGGACATGTGACACTTAGCCCATGGCTGGGTTTGCTTTGTCATCCACAGACTCCTGTGCTGCTTGCTGTAACCTAAAAAGCCTAAGTTCATTTGAAAAACCTATTAAACTAGACCTCTTAAGTTATGTTTGTGCAGTTAATTTTGGATCCTAATTACAATTACTTAAGTTTATTTCTTCATATCATTATGTTGATTGGTGATTTCAGGTCTTGGTTTTTATATGCATCTAATACACCTTCCTTTTTGTAATAATGACTTGTCCTCCCAGTGCTAAGTTCTTGTCATAAATCTTTCACCCCACTAGGTCTAGGTGATTCTTATGAATTCAAATTTGCAGCCATGTTTAAATGTTAAATTATCCTCATTAATTAGTCACATCAATTGCATTGTTGTGTAGGTATTTAAGGACATGAATTTAATGTCTGATCTGTTTCCCTTCTGTTTTTCTCCAAGAATTACTAGAAATTCCTCCACTGGCTCTTTCATCTATGTCATAATTTTTTTTTATTTTGTTGCCCCATTTCTTTGAATTTTAAAGTAATTTTAACTCTAATTCTTTTTGATTGAGTCAGATATCTCTGGCCCAGTAAGTAACCCAACCTGGATTCTGTGTTTGGCCCAAGAACAAGTTATTATAACCCTCGATCTAGAAAGGAAAAATCCTGTTCCCTAATACCATTTACTTTCATCTCCCTTTCTCCATACTTTCCAAAGTTATTGCCTTCAAATGCAGGGAGAAATGAAAACACCACCTGTGTTTCCAGACTTTCTATTTCCTATCTAGGGCTTCAACATCATGAGAGATAAATCCCAGGTTCCTTCAGATGCTATGATGCAGCCCCATATGATTCAGCAGAAGTGGGTAGCAGTTGGGTTTGATTAGTCTTGGCAGGCACTCTGTCACATCTCAGGAAAAGGCTCCAAAAGGACCACACACCTCCCAATTAGCCATGTCAGACTTGCATCTGGCTTTCTCGGTGTCCTTCAATAGGATGTCAATGCCACCCAGTGTGAATATCAGGATTTTCAACACCTGCTACCTCCTGTGACAGCTTCTTTTTGTTCTGGAGGTGAGAAGATGCGGCTTCTTTGACTCACCCTTTATGGACAGAACCTCAGGTCCCTATGTCACTTCATGGTATAAAGATTCTTAAATCATTCAGTAGCATTAGGGTATTTAAAGACAAATGAAATGCATATCCTGTCCCCCCAAAATTTATAGTGTAATAAGTAAACAATGTGTATTAATAATCATACTGTATTATACTTTACATTCTATCTTTAAAACCACACAGCCATTCTTTGAAGTGACCGTAGTTATCCTCTTTTTACCCATCAGACAACTGAGGCTCTGAGGCTTTAATTATAGCCTGTCAGGGATCATCCAGCCAATAATCAGCAGGACTAAGATTTGAACCCTTTTCTTCTGTAGTCAACTGATCTCTTTCTACCATACTGCTGGAATAAAAGGATGGGTGAAATATCAGGGAAGTTTTCTGAGTGCCAGCAATATGTCTGCCTCCATTTTATTTAATTTTTCGCAATGACCTCACCACAGGTTAACATTAAATCTCACTTTATTAATGTGGAAATTGAGATGATTAAGTAACTTGTCCAATGTCACACAATAAGGAAGTAGCTGCAGTAGTTGTTTGCAGAGCTTTCTTTCCGCTGGCTCATGCCCTCTTTTTGCTGAATTTAGTTCCCATTCTCTCCCTCAGAATACTTCCTTCTTAGATTATCACCTCTGTCTTGTATAAATGGAATTAAAAAAAAATACAGTTGACCCTTGAATAACATGAGGTTGAAGTGCATGGGTCCACTTATACACAGATTTTTTTTCAATAAATACGGCAAATGTGTTTCTCTTTCTTACGATTTTCTTAATAACATTTTCTTTTCTTTAGCTTACTTTATTGTAAGAATACTGCCACTCCTCAGACAGAGGACCAGGTGTAGAGTTGACTCTTGGAGGTTGTAGCCTTAAAGAGTAAGACCATCTTCTAGCTGCTTGCTTGAAAAAGTGAGCCCCTGCCGGCCAGGCTACAGATGCCTCCTGTATCCTAGACCTGGCCGCCCCATTACGCATGTATCGCTGGGCTCCACCTCCATGTTCATAGTTTTGCAGGTCAGGTCTTTCAGAAGATTTGCATTTTGGCTTGTTAGTGAATGAGAAGATACTGTAAATCACCAATTGGGTCAAGTCACCTCAAGGCCAACACACTCTCACTAGACAATGCCAGTTGTCTTTGAAAAGTTTTCACCTTTTTTGCCAAATCTATTTGTTTTGTTTTTTCTCTGCCAACAAAGCTATTCCAGCAGTCCATTCCTCACTTCACATCCACTCTCCTAGGCAACGCCTTACCGTCTCACTTCTTGCTCCCTGCCCCTTCCATTACTTTAGGCACGTTGCCTCTGGCCTGATCCCAAAACAGACAACAGTAATTTCAACCCTGAGTGTAAGGCAACTCACAAGGGGCCTGTGAACTGTTATACTACATTTAAAATACTCTGCTTGGTGCTCACAGCCCTTTTTAGCCTGGCCCTTCTCTACTAATTCAAAATTTATTTCTGAATTTCAGTTTTTTCTTCACTGACCCATGGTTTACAAGATTAAAATTACTTCCAAACCCAAGTTCTTTTGAGCAGTCAGTTGCTTCTTCCTCTTTGCTGTCACTTGACTGTGTTTCCATGGGAGAATTATTGCATGGTATTATATTAATTTGTTTCATTTTTAGTCTTGGTCTGTGTGCTCCGCTAGACTGAGTTCCTGAAAGTTGTCAAGCACATTTTAAACATCATTGTGTCTCAGACACAATGTCTACACCTAATAGGTATTCAATAAGTGCTTATTGACAGGTGAATGAATGAGAGGATGAATAGGTTGTTATGCCTAATTAATTGATAATGTAAAACTTGTGTTAATGCTTGACACATAGTAGGCCTTTGATCAATACTCCTTTTGCTTTGACGATGCTCTCTTTCATTTTATTTATTTATTTATTTATTTATTTATTTATTTATTTATTTAACGTTTGACATTTTTAAAGGTACCATTAGTGGAACAGCTCTTTTGCGGAGAGTTTCAACCATTTCTGAAGAAATGGTATTCCGTTACTGGATTAAGTGGTGATACCCAATTGAAAATATCATTTCCAGAAGTTGTCAAATCCCATGATGTCATTATCAGTACAGCTCAAATCCTGGAAAACTCCCTTTTAAACTCAGAAGAGGGAGAAGATGATGGTGTCCAGTTGTCAGGTTGGTTGAAGTGTATATTTTTGGAAACATATTCATATTTCCAGAAGAATTCATATTAATATTAATGCTAATAGAAACTGTATTAGTTGGATAATTTTAAACATGCTGATTAAAGAATATTAACTTTGGTTTATATTATCTTTTGTTGTTTACATTTTCATTAAAACTCTTTTACTTCCTTGAGGAAACAAACAAAAAATTTGAAAAGTTTTTAATTAAAATACTGTTCTGCATAAGAATATTAGTATTACATCAAACAATCACTGGACTTTCCATTTACTTCGTAATTCTGGGGACTGACAAATTCTTCTTACACGCTATGTATCCTTTTAGATCAGCCCTCTTCTCTGTAGAGCAAATATAAAATCTTTTCTATTTTGTGAGGCATTGAAAGAGAAGGTAGGAGATAGGAAGGGAAATAAGGACAAATAAGTATAATAGTTAAATGCAATGGTAAAACATGGCAAAATATTCCTCTTAAAATAATGTAGTTTTTATTTGATATAATAAGTGTAAAATTCGCCCATTTAATATTAAATGTTATATTAAGAAAAAGAGTGTAATCCTGAGAATTCTGGATAATTATCTTAAGTTTGAATTCCATCCCATAACACTCTTTAGGTCTATAAACTTTCTAAAAACTCATCTAATAAAATAGGCATAATACCTAACAGGGAGAGCTTCATGATTAATATATATAAACTTTTGAATGTACAGGTGATTAGAATGGTCCTAAAAAGTGAAAAAGGGCAGTGTCAGTATTCTGCCCCAAAAAAGACATACCTGTGGCAGCTCAATTTCCTAGCTTAAAGATTCTTTTTTGTTTGTTTAACCATAACTTGCTGGTATGGACAAATGAACCATGTGAATTTTCTTTTAAGATTTCTCCCTCATCATCATTGATGAATGCCATCACACCAAAAAAGAAGCAGTCTATCATAACATCATGAGGCGTTATCTGAAACAGAAGTTGAAAAACAAGAGACTTGAGAAAGAAAACAAACCAGTGATTCCCCTCCCTCAGATCCTGGGACTAACAGCTTCACCAGGTGTTGACGGGGCCACCAAGCAAGCCAAAGCTGAAGAACACATCTTAAAAGTAAGTCATTAACTTTATGTATAAAGAAGGAAACCAAAGCTAAAAAAAAAAAATGTCACTACTTCTTGGGTTTTTTACGTAAGGTTAGGTGCAAATGCCATCGAGTGCATGAAAGAAGGTATTGCAGGATCCTCAGTTCGGTGAAATCTATTTGCTTCAAAGTAAATGTATTCCGTTTTCTACAAAACAGTAATATGCCTTAATAAACAACTATGACAAAAAACATCACAAAAATTATAGAAAGCTGATATAATTACTGAAAAGTGGTTGCAAATTTAGTATCTTCTTTTAAATATCTACTCCTATTTGAAAACTTGATCATCTATTTGATATTGAAATATATGTGAAACTATGAACATTTCTACTTTTCATACTCACTCAGTGAATTTCAAAATTGCTTATTTTCTACTGTCTTTTTGTTCTGTGTGATTCTCAGATTCTGGGTAATTCAAGTTAAATGGGAAAATGGGATATACAAATCCGTAATTAAAAATATATTACATGTCAGCTGCCCCCAAATGATAACAACACATAAAATACTGTTGTTGACTGAAGTGTTAAATGAATTCAGAGTAAGCCAAGAAGTGTGTTGGCATCAGGCAAGTGCATTTGTATTTTAAGGCCTTGATTTTCAATTTAATTCAGTAAAAATCAGGTAGAGTAGACAAAGGTACAATTATTGGCTCCAAGGTCTAATTGATTACTGGGATTAAGGACAAATTCTAATCTAGATCCAGGCACATGGGCTTCAGCTGCTCCTAGCTTCACACTGTCGTCTTTATGTGTAGAAAAGAGTGGTAATATGAAACCATGGATGACAAAATGACCTTTGAAATGCTTCATGTGATATGGTTTTCTCAGAAACATTCTCTGCTGATCTCTGCAAGATGCTATACCCTTTCCATGTCTATTTTTCCAGCTAGAAAATAGAATGTAAGTAATGAATATGAATACACTTTTCTGGAATTATTCACCAACTTGATTTAGAAGCTTCTTTTTTTTTTTTAGCCTATTAGGACAAATTGGTTAATCAGATCCACAGTAAAGCATTACTATAATGCCATATTTAGCAAGTAATGCTACTTATTTCTTACATGAAGAAAACAACATTAAGTCAATGAAAGGGAAAACTAATTATTTAAATGTTGAAAAATGTCTCTTTTCCAGATATGTGCCAGTCTTGATGCATCTACTATTAAAACTGTGAAAGAAAACATCAGTCAACTTAAACACCAAATAAAGGAGCCATGCAAAAAGTTTGTCATTGCAGATGACACCAGAGAAGTATGTGCTTAAAATGCTGTATTGATTTGATTGCTGATACCATACTGAACTGAAAGATGCAAAGATTGTTTTATATTGGCCATCTGAACAATACTCTTTTAAATTTTTAGCAAAAAGTTACATTTTTGTACTTTTTTATTGATGTTAGGCCATAAACCACTGCTGTGAATTCTCTTTTCCATCCTTTTAGTTTTCCAGCTTATATGAAGAGTAGCTCAGTAACTGACTACATTTGAGCCACAGGGGGAGGAGGGTAGAGAAGGTTATGTAGCTAAACTACAGGGATTATACTATATTCTGTTTTATCCTTTTTCTTTCCTTTCTTTTTTTAAACTTCCTTGGTGAATTCCAGGATTGGTTTTCCAACATTCCACAGTGCTAATTTTGTAGCTACCAGATTACATTTGGCAAAGATAATGGAAATCCTCCCTAATTTTCATATTTCTTAAGAAAACACTGACATGGTAAAGAGGTGAAATACATATTTTATGGTGCTTTCTAGATGACTATTTTCGCTAATAATAAACACCAACTGATACTCAGTTTGGAATTTATGATGAGTACATATGTCAATACTTTCTTTTGTAAAATTTGTAAAGCATGATAAGTTGTAGCTATATATGCTCGATTATAAGTGTAATCATTGAAAATACACCTCGTAATGATGTTAGGATTAAATGATATGAAATATGCATAATAAGTAATATTATGTTTAAAATGTAGTAGACGCTAAACCACTGTTAGTGGCCATCAGTTGTGATTTCTGTTTTTTCTTTAATTCTGGAAGACTGCTTATCTTCTCCAGCTGAACTAGCACGTTTGGTATACTTTATTTTCCTTCACTTTCTATTGCTTATTCAGTTTCATTTGATAAGTTTAAATATGTGTTTTTACTTATAATCATTAATAAAACACGACATTCCTAGGATTTTAAAATTTATTTTATTTTATTTTATTATTTTGCTGGGACAAATTAGATTGCAAGCTTTCTAAATAACTGTGACATCACTTTAATATTATTTTAAAATTAGTGTTAGCATCCATGTTTATCATTAATTAATTTTTTTTGTAAAATTTTTAAACTGGAAATTCCAGAAGTGGTACACAGTGTTGGTGTATACGTGTCTTGAGAGCAGAGACTTTTAAAAGAAGAAAATGGTTAAAAAAAATGTGCAAATGGGTGATCAGAGATTAGCATACTACTTTGCTTACACAAAGATTCTGAATCAAGTTTATTATTACACAGAAATTATTTTCACAAAGATAATGTTATTCCTTTAACAATATAAACACGTAAGAATAAGTGTATAACTTATTTTTAGGATCCATTTAAAGACAAACTTCTGGAAATAATGACAAAGATTCAAACTTTTTGCCAAATGAGTCCAATGCCAGAATTTGGAACTCAACCCTATGAACAGTGGGCCATTAAAATGGAAAAACAAGGTAATTGGGTTTTTACCTAGCATTTTATCCCATGTTTATGCCAAGATTTCACATAACTATATCATACATTCCTAAGCAAACTGCAAGCGAATGGAATTTCTTTTTTCCAAGTAAGACATAGATAAACATGTTCTAATTCCTTATCTAAGGAAAGAGGTACCAATTCATTCATTTTGTCTTTATCTCCAGAGTCTTCACTTACTGTATATTTAAAATATTAAAATAAATATTAACCGCTCTGTCTCCAATTGTAAATTCAAGTAATATGTTTTTCATGCCGTTCCTCTGACTCAGCATGGATCAGGTGCATGCTCTTGCGGGTGCATAAGTCAAGCAGCAAGTCTGGGAGTGAGAAAATTTGTCCCTTTTTAGAGCTCATGGCACATTTTGAGTCCTGCTTGCTCACTTCAGAAACAAGATGAAACCTGTTCTAGAGTCAGTAATTCAAACATGTTCATGTCCACAGCACAGTATAAAGGATGTGTGTTTGGATCATTATTTCATGCTACATAATATATTCTTTCATAGCTGCGAAAGAAGGAAATCGCAGAGACCGCCTTTGTGCAGAACATTTGAGGAAGTACAATGAGGCCCTGCAAATTAAAGACACCATCCGAATGATTGATGCATATAACCACCTTGAAACTTTCTATAATGATGAAAAAGAGAAGAAGTTTGCAGTCCTAGATGATAGTGATGGGAGTGGTGATGATGGTGATGAAGATGAGAATGATGAAAAGAAACCTTTGAAACTGGATGGGACAGATGAATTTCTCATGGATTTATTTATGGGTAAGAGTGAATGTGACATTTATTACATGATCTCCTGCATTTACGTCTTTGGTGTGCACTGCTGCTTTACAAGAGCTCTCCAAAAGGCCATCTTAAGATAACATTTCATTTTGAAAGAAGAAATTCCACTCACATCTAACTGAGGACCACAGTAGGCGTGAATCGTATGATCACAATCAATCATTTGATCATCTGGATTTTAGTCAAGATGATTGAAATAAATTTATTAAATAGCCTGATTATAAGGTATAGATAAAAGATTAACTGTAAACTACATCTCAGTGCCTCATTACCTAAATCTTCCACTGTAATTATTTGTATATTTTACTAATTTAAGCTAATTGTTTTTTAAAGATAACAAGCGTGTGTTGAAAAAACTGGCTGAAAACCCAGAATATGAAAATGAAAAGCTGACCAAATTAAGAAATACCATAATGGAGCAATATACAAAGACTGTGGAAGCAAGAGGAATAATTTTCACAAAAACTCGGCAGAGTGCATATGCCCTTGCCCAGTGGATTAATGAAAATGAAAAATTTGCAGAAGTGGGAGTCAAAGCCCACCATCTGATTGGAGCTGGACACAGCAGTGAGTTCAAGCCCATGACACAGGTACAAACATCTTTTTGGATTGCTGTTCTTACACTGTGACTACTCTTCACCCATTAGTTGTAGTCTGTTTTTCATCAATTCTCTCACCACACCACAACATGTTTTGAAGGAATGAAGCACTTATTCTTGAAGTGATATGTGAGTGTAATAGCAGTCTAACCTGGGGTATTTGAAAGGCTAAGTATTGTCCTAGGAGTCATTTTTGTTTTCCACATACTTGAGGGATCTTTCTGAAGTGAGTTTCCTTTGCAAAAATCATTGCTATTTAAACTTCGTAACAAAATACAAAAATGGTTACAATATAATTATCAAGTGGAACATTCCAGTCTCCTCAAAAAATGTGCATTATAATTAGGACTGTGTGACACAGGTCTGCCCAGGACGAGATCGGCAAGAAACTTGGAAAAGTTAAGACCTTTGATCTGTTAGAGATTTGGGATCCCGAGAGGTTTTCTCTTCCCCTTTAAGGTTTTTGTTTGTTTGTTTTGTTTTCATTTCATTATACCATTGAACATGTGCACAGTGAAAAACACTTGAGAGAGAAAAAAGGCACTTGTAGACATTACAAGCATGTGGTTTGTTAGAGTAAAATGTTCTGAAGTTACGTTGATCCTCAGTCTTGCTGGACAAAAGGATACTTCAATTCTAATACAGCCATCACCATTTAGTCCGAAGGAGCAAATTACATTTGTTTTAGTATTTGCTGAAAAGAAATAGTTCTTGAAATTATTCACTCTAACTCTCCATATACTCTTGACATGTACTCATGTTAAAGTTGCCTCTCAAATTTATGCCAGAAAAGACATTGTTTTTCACGGGTAAAGAGTTTGCCTCCTCTGAGGAAAGCTAGTTTGTTTACTTAATGTTTCTTTTTTTGCCCAACATTCTAGGAATCTCACAGGAAAAACTGTAGTCTCACATCTTCTGAGTTAATCCTTACAAGCAATACATCTATATTCTTTCACTTTTGGTCTTGCTTTTAAGTTTCTATTATATTAGTTTTAGTGTTATGACTTTGATCATGTATGACTTCAGTTCATCTTTGAAAAAAGGTGAGGTACAAATGGAAAGTATGTTCTCAAGCTACTTTGGCTAGTTACTCATATCGGACTTGGGGGTTGCATGTCACTATAGAACACACCCCTTCCTTACTCCGCACATCCTCACCTTGTAAACTGAATTAGACTTACTGGGAGAGGAGTTGCCTAACTCTTGATGTGTCTGAAACTCTCATGATTAAAGTTAGTCCTTTGAATTAATGCACAGACATCTTCTGCTAAAATCCAAGGATATGTCAGCAGACATGAGTGCAAGAGCGAGAAGTTATCAGAGAAGACCGGAGAGGGAGTTTCCTGCAGGGTTCTGGAGCAGTTAGCAGGCAAATAAAGGCATGTACTGCCTCTGAGAAAAAAGGAAGGGGAGGGGAGAACGCACTGTCCATATGACATGTTCACTGTTGTTTAAGGTGTGGGGGCAGAAGATAGTGTAAATGTGCACCACAGGCCAACTGGACCAACAGCTTTGATGAGAGCGATTATGAAGCTAAAACTAAGCTGTCTGCATGGGTCAGGGTTTATGCTTACCCCTTCCTCTGGTGCAAGGGTCAGAGAGCATATTTAATCACTTATATTAACTTACAGAATTCAGATTTTATTCATTTAAATATAATTGTCTTAATTATGTTTTATGTTTTTCATAACCTATTCTTTCATTTTTATTTGTGTCACCTCTTTGAATAGACAATATATTTACCTCTTTCAAAATTAATAAGGCACAGGGCCCACCACTGTCCTCCAATCCTCTAGCTTCCCTTCTTGCAGGCACTTGACATACTCCAGTTTCTCATGTGTCCTTCCAGGAATATTCCATACGTTTCTTGTTTGAATGACTCATTTCTTTTTAAGATTTTATTTATTTACTTTTAGAGAGAGGGGAAGAGAGGGAGGAGGAGAGGGAGAGAAACATCAATGTGTTGTTATGTTGCCTCTTGCATGCCCCCAACCAGGGCCCCAGCCCACAACCCAGGCATGTGCCCTGACTGGGAATCGAACCAGCGACGTTTAGGTCCACAGACTGGCACTCAATCCAATGAGCCACACCAGCCACAGTACCTGAATCACTCTTAAAGTGACCAAATGTGTGGTTTGTATTTCTCAGTGGCTCAAGCCTCAACAATTTTTACAAGTGTCACTGCATATATTCTTTGACTATTAAAGATTCTGAAGTTAATGTAGTGAAAAGAAAAGCCCATTTAAGTTTCTCATCTCTTTCTTCCTCCCAAGTTTCCCATCGATTTATTTCCGTGGTGTAAATGATGGTCTCCCCACCTTCAGATTGGAAGATGGAAGTATTTTTGTTATTGTGTGATAATCCCAGATTGGAAATCAAATGTTGTCTCAGCATCATGTCTTTGTTCAATGACACAAACAGATGGCATCAAATCCGTGTATGATCTAATCCTTTGATTTACACTGACCAGTTGCAATTCTTTATTTATTCTCCTAATTAGATGATTTTAATGTGTTTAGCACCACAAAATTTAATTTATTAAAATGTTTCTACAGAATGAACAAAAAGAAGTCATTAGGAAATTTCGCACAGGAAAAATAAATCTGCTTATCGCTACCACAGTGGCAGAAGAAGGTCTGGATATTAAAGAGTGCAATATGATTATTCGTTATGGTCTCGTCACTAATGAAATAGCCATGGTCCAGGTACATTCGAATACCTCTAATTATTAACTTTTTAAATTTTGTATTCTTTTTTTATTTTAGTAAAATAGCACACATAGTTTTAAAAATATAGCTGTTTTCCTATGAAAAATCATTTTACAATATATACAAATACTAAATCATTATGTTCTGTACCTAAAAAGTAATATATGTAAATTATACCCCAATGAAACAGAAGAGAGACATCTTGAAGAGCTGTGCGCTACTGCCTTTTGTATTACTGTTTCATTCAAATTACGACCAGATACCTGTTGTATTTTTAAACAATAACCCTTCTTTAGTTGTTATTGCAGTGTCCCAAGACTTTTCAAGAACATGACAGGTGGCCCCATCTGTAACAGTCAAAATAGGCCTCCTCATTCTCAGGATGTAGGGAGCCCCCAGTTGGACCAGGGATCTAAAGCACAGCGTCCCACAAATAGAGTAACACTCCAAGCTTCAGGGAATCCAGCTCTTTCTGTGCTTTCTTCCCTTATTCTTTCAACTTCTGTTACGTTTGAAATTTTTCATGATAAAATGGTGATGGATGTGAGGCAGATATGCACGTGTGTGTGGTTGTTTCTACACAAACTTATATTCACCCTGTATGCAAAAAAAAGAAAAAAAATAGTAAAATGTCCTAGTTTTCATTCAATTTAATTTTATCTTTTACCCACCCTGTGTTAACATAATTGTTACCTTTGGTTGAGTAAGCGTAGGAATCATACTTAACATTCTTCCCATAAAGTTAACAAAAGGGCTTTTTTTATATGCTAAATTGCATTCTCGAATGAAGGGCAAGTCATGGAAGACCAAGATAATGAGACAACCACCAAATTAGGAAGTAATTTTATTTCAGGAGCTGACTTGCTAGTTGTTAATTACAAAGAATGCGTTTTTCAGGAGGATAGTATCTTAGTCTATAGGTTCCCGGGCCAGGCCCCGCACTTTTTTGTTACTCAGAATGTAACTAAATATCACTTTATAAAAACAACGATATAAGTTTATCGCCACGTTGAGCATGTTTTCATAAGAAGATGTGCCCAGAATCCAATGTCGGATGCCAGGAACAGGGCTGCACGCTCCGCAGCGCTGGTGTCAAGGTCAGAGACGCCCTTCTTTCTCCCCATTCATCCCACCCACCCGGCTTGGAGGAGTGGCGCTCCTCCGGCCCAAGCCACCGTTGACCAGCGCAGGGTGTGGGAGAGGGCCCTGTGGAATGGAAAGGCTGGACGGGTTGGTATTGTGTTATTGAGGCTTTTGAGGGCTGAGTGGGGACCTAATAACCATCATCATTCAAAAACATTGTTTCTGTGTTCAAGTGCATCTTGAGTTTCAAATAGCGAATTTATAAAGAATGAAGAATGACTAACTTTACTGAGAATAAAGAGACCATTTGAAGGCTGGGACAACTGAGCATTTCAGGACAAAAATGGGAGAGTTCAAAGCAAGGCAGAGCCGCTCCTGTCCATATTTATGTCACTTCTTTCTGTTCTCAGGCCCGCGGCCGAGCCAGAGCGGATGAGAGCACCTACATCCTGGTTGCCAGCAGCGGCTCAGGAGTTGTAGAACGCGAGACAGTTAATGACTTCCGAGAGAAAATGATGTATAAAGCTATAAACCGTGTTCAGAATATGAAACCAGAGGAGTTTGCTCACAAGGTATTGTTTTGGGCCCTCTCTGAATTTAGTTTTCACTTTAAAATGGCTGCAAGTGATTGCTAAACAGAAGTTGTGCTGAGGTGTATGTTCCAGTTTGATGAGCTATGCTTAGACCAGATTCACATACAAAGAATCAAGATCCTACTGGGCTGCAGTTACCAGAGAGCCATTCCAAGGGAACTAGCCATACCAGCCACACTAGCCATAAACTTTGATAATATAAATTTCAGCTTCCCTTGATTCAGAAAGACTAGTGTAACCTACCCATTCATCCCAACCTGGCAATTTTGGTTTGGTCCAATCTTGTAAAGGCACATTTTTTTTTGTTCCAAAAATATTTACGAAATGTCTCCTGTGTACCAGAGAACATTCTAGAAACAGAGAACAGATACGCAGACGGCAAAGAGGGACCCCTGCATTGTGAAGTGTATATTCTAATGTGTACACAGTAAGATTTGAGGACTTGAAGAGGAGAAAAACTAAACAGAAATGAAGCAAGAAATATGTCATATAGAGATAAATGCTAGAGAATTAGAATAGAATGTGGAAAAGGTCACTAGACAAGTACTTTAGGCTTAATAGTTGGGAAAGGCCTCTCAGAGGGAGTGACACTAGGCTAGACCTGAATAAAAACAAGATGCATCCTATATCATCTAGCGGCATCTCAATTCACTAACATAGAGTTATCTGAGTGGCAAGAGGAATGCAGTGAAGGAAGAAAGTATTTCTCCAATATTTCAGGAAATCCCCCATACCACTGAATTAAAGACTGTGAGTACTATAATAGCAAACAATCCATTTAGAAGAAAATTCACACCCTTGCATATGGGTGTGAATGTTAGTTTCTTAACATTGGAATTGGCTCTACCCTAAATAGAGTCTCACGAAAGGGATGCTTTCAAATTGGTGAGCATTGCTATAACCAACTCCAAGGTTTCCTGGCCAGGTTTCTACACAAACTTGTATTTTAAAACTCTTTTCAATATAAGGGAAAAAAACTAAACATGTTGTAGTTTCAAATCAAACATTAGTGGCCAAATAATCCTTTAATGTCCTAAAATGAATGAAATCAAGAGGATGTTTGCAAAGTTTGATGTTTTAAGATAGTTGTATTGGGGGAACCCTAGAACAACCTCTGGAATTTGAGTCAATTTTTTCCAATAATCTCTAGAACAAGGTACAGTCCCTTTAGAGGCCCCAGGATACTACCTTTTTAGGTCTCTTTCGACGAAGTGATCCACTCTCCTAGAACCACTCCAGGAAGACGAACTCAGAGGGAAAGGCAATGATGTGAGGCACATGCCAACCACTACTCTCACACCCCCCGCAGATGTCGCCACAGGCCACAGCACTCCGTTCTTCTGATTTGAGAATCCTTCTCATTTAGTCAGCGAAGGGTAACTGTAAATAACTGGTGAGAGTTGACACATAGGTGAGGTCTGTTTTCCATGTCTTATACAGGGTTTATACATAACCGGAAGTTCTAAAACTGGAGATCTTAACCTTTTTCCCTGGCATTGACCTAATAACTTTTGCTGCATTATTATATTGTATTTGGACTTTGATGATAGCTGTGCCTGTCATATATTTATTATAATTTCTTTTTTTTTGCCTCTCTAATTAGTTTATATGCTTTATTATTTTAAAGCTAGTCTTTCAGTTTCTGGTGTCCTGCTTATATATCTATATATCAACCTTGGTTTTATTTTTATTTTTTCCATCACACTCATAGGTGTGTCTTAATTGCCTACATGTGTGGGATCCTTGGCCAAATCATCTTTTAATCAGCTCACTAAACAATAAATATCTTGCAAGAAAAACCTGATTAAACTTTTAGGGAACAGAATACTTCAATTTATTATATTATTGTAATTTTCATGGGAAATTAGTCTGTGTACTTGTCTGATTAAACTATTCTATAGCCCATAAATTTGCTTGCAAGGCTTCTTTTTTCCTCTTTCTGTTCTAAATGTGGCTGCCCTGAATCAAGGCCTACAACAGAAAGGTAAGAACCAAGGAGTGGGCCACTCAGTTTTGTTTATCAGCACTGATGATTTACTTTTACTAAAAACGTCCTGTAGGTCTTAAAGAAAACAATGGTTTCTTCCACAATTTAATATTAATTGGTCACTTAGAAATGGTTCAGTTTGGAGGTAAATTATTTAAGAACCAGGGTTTTCTACTGTGAAGTTGTATAGGTATGAGAACTGACCAGTCCCTACTTCAAATTTTGTGTCTTTCATAAACTAGATTGTTTTTATGATGAAATAAGTTTGTCTTTGGTCACAGAACCTAGAATACACAGCATAAAGTGCTATTGTCTCACATAAAAAATGTGGGCAGTCTGGAGTCATATGATCGCTCCATGACATCATGAGGACCCCTGGCCTCCTCTTCCCTCCTCTCTCCTCCTCTCCTCTCCCATTCTCTCTCTCTCTCTCTCTCTCCTCTGCCCTTTTAGTATTTGGCTTCCATTCCCAAGGTCAAAGATAGCTTTTAGAATTTTAGCTGTCACATGCTTATTCTAGGGAGGAGGAAGGAAGAAGATGGAAAAGGCAAAAGTAGACATGCCAACTATCTGATACATAAGGAGCTTTTCTGGAAATATCACTTAACATTTTCTCCTGTCTAGTTGACCACTGGCTTGGAAATATAGTCACTTAGTTAGCATATTTCCACGCAGAATAAAATTATACAATAGTTCTCTTCCTAGGAAGAATGTATACTGGGTGGGAAACTAGTAGTTTTTCACAAACATGAAAAGAGGAGATTTTGCTAAGGAGTTTTGCTTAGGTAACAAAGGATCTAGGAGTTAAAACATGAGGAACAATGAAGGAAACTAGGGGGCTTACCATAGATAAGAAAAGATTATGGGTAATGTAATAAAAGTGTTTAGTTCTTTGAAGAGATTCGTATTGGAGAAAGTTTAGATCATTTTCTGAGACAATTAAAATGAATGAGGTAGCTTTGGTTTTCTTTTTGTCAATCATGGCTCAGGACTTTCTCCCCAGAGAATTTTCTAAAAATAGAATGGGCTGTGTGTTGATGGTTCCACATTTTCATCATTACATGAAGGTTTCTATACTAAATTCTTAGTGGGCCTCATTATTTTTATTTTTAGTCTATGGGCCAAGAGTATATTTCCATAACTATCTAAGGTCTCTGAATTCAAGGATACTTACTTCAGTGAAACAATGAAAAAAACATAGAATATTCTTTTGTTGGTGCAGATTCTGGAATTACAGATGCAAAGTCTAATGGAAAAGAAAATGAAAATGAAGAGAAGTATCGCCAAGCATTACAAGGAAAACCCATCATTAATAAGTTTCCTCTGCAAAAACTGCAGCGTGCTTGCCTGCTCTGGAGACAATGTGCATGTAATTGAGAAAATGCACCATGTCAATATGACACCAGAATTCAAGTAAGTTCAGGAAAACTCAATAGAAGTTTCTTTAAAATAGGTGAAGTAGGTTGTATTGTAAATGTCCTTCCAAAATAGCACAAATAAAATCTATTATTCTTTTAGAACTTTTTCCCTTTAAACTTTCCCAAATTACATCTCCATTTCAAATGTTTGTTTTTCAAACATACTGTACGGGCCAGGGAGGGAGAAGTGTAAGCCTCAGAGCCATTTTGATCTAAGACATATCAGTGTGTGTATGTTCATATTTGTTCTCAAATTTTTGAACAATTTAAATTAAAATAATTAACAGACTTAAAGAAGCCACAAAAGGCAACAAGCTCCCTGAGAGGTGGTTGTGGAAGGGGCACCTGCCTGAGGATGAAGGTCAAGTTGAACAACATGCACCCACGGGCTGCATATTGGTCATTTGTGAATTCTCAGGAATGTTTCTTATTCCTTGACAATTTTAGGGAACTCTACACTGTGACAGAAAACAAAGCACTGAAAAAGAAGTTTGCAGACTATCAAGCAAACAGTGAGATCATCTGCAAAGCGTGTGGCCAGGCGAGTAAACTGCTGTGGGTTTATTCTTACTTTGGTCAAAAGGAATTTTTAAATTATGTGCATTTAATTTTTCCTTTCACTTTTGTTTTCCAGGCTTGGGGAACGATGATGGTGCATAGAGGCTTAGATTTGCCTTGTCTCAAAATAAAGAATTTTGTCGTGGTTTTTGAAAATAATTCAACAAAAAAACAATACAAAAAGTGGGTAGAATTACCTATCACATTTCCTGATCTTGACTATTCAGAATATTGTTTGCTTAGTGATGAAGATTGAGATTCGATTCAAGATTCTTTTAAAATATTGTCAACATTTAATATGATTTTGAGTAGTATTTTTATAATACTAAGGAACTGATGTGAACATTAATAAAATAATTGCTTTACTCTGAGATGAGCTGTATAAAGGAAAATAATATATCATCCTTTCAATTATTTGTCTTGTTTGTGGATGGGGTAAAGAAAGTCTACCAATAACACTCATTTGTGTGGAGCAGTAGAGTGGAATACTGCGGGGGAGATGCTGGCATCTAAGTGAGGGTCTAAGGCACCAATTTCAGTCTTGTCACTAATTTTCAAAATAAAATTAAGCAAATCGGTTTATCTTTCTGAACAGGCTCCTTATGATTGAAATGGTTATAATATTATGTCTTTGCTTTTATTAGTTTTTTATTGTCGCATAACAAATTACCACGAACTTTGTGACTTAAAACAACTACTATTGCACATGTTGTATAGCTCAGAGGTCTGGGCAGGGTCTTCTCCTCAGGGTCCCAGAAGGCTGAGATCAGGCGGCAGCCAGATGATATCCTCATCTGGATGCACTCGGGAAGAATCACTTCCAGGCTCTTTCAGATTGTTGGCTGCTGTTTCCTTGCAGCTGAAGAGTGGAATTCTTGTTTCCTTACTTGCTGTCCACTGGGATCACTCAGAGCTTCCAGGGCCTCTCTCACCACATAGCCCTTTTGCGGCACAGCTGTCGCTTCTTCAAGGCCAACAGGAGACTCCATCTCTTGAGTCTGTAAGATAAAGTCTTAACTGTACTCACACGGCTGACTATCTCTTCCCATGCCTGGGTCCCGCCCATGCTTGAGGTGAGGGAATTTTTCCCAGACATATATAGGAGTAGGCAGAAATCTTGGAGGCCATCTTAGAATTCTGCCTCCTATACCACTTGCCCAGTTTTTGTTAGTAAGTGATATATGTATACATACGAAAGTACTTTGAAATAACGTGAAACACCATAAAAGGCAAGATACTATTAAGGCGCAGCATCGGGTAGCTTAAGGCTTACTTCTTTAGCTTTTCCTCCATGAAAATAACACCATGCTCAGAAATGAATGAACAACAGGAATGGAGGCTAAATCCAGACCTGTTATCAATACCTACAAGATCACCTGAGTCAGTGAAGATGTCCAGGGTTCACATAGGATTTAGCAAGGAGCAGATGCTGGATGTTATTGGAGAATAAAGAAAAATGTCTGCCTTCACCCCCCACTAGCACCAGACAGAAAAGTAAACTCTTGGTGGCTGTGACATTTTGAGTGTTTCTGAACTAAGTGTATGACCATTTGGAGATGATGCAGGGCCTAGCACTTCAGAACGTTTTCCTAGTAGACAAGCAGCCTCTTTTGGCAGACACATGACTGAGAAAAAGCCACGACAGACCATTTAAACCCACACTCACCTAGTCTCACAGGTGTCTGCTCCACAGAAACAGCGACCTCCTATGACTGAGGAGAAACAAAGTGTTGGAGGGGGTGAAAAGAAACTTCTGTGGTTTTGAAGGAGTAAAAATTCAATCTAACAGTGGTTCTCTGTCTTGAGAAGACTTAAGCAAGGGTGAATATTAACCAGTCAGAGCTCTTGGGAATACAAGAGGGCAAAAGAAGATTGTGGCTTCTTAAAATACTTTTTAAAGCTCCAGCTGACTCCACTTGAAGTACTGCTCTCTTATAAAACATTTTGGAAACTCTGCAAGAAACCAAATGCATAAAATAGCTAAATGTACTACTGTAACATATGTAGACTGTTTTTAAGGCATCAACAAATATCAGGTTCTTTCATCTATGTTTTCCAGTAGTTTTTTAAATAAAGAAGTGTTACTTCTACATCAAAGTTTTAAACTATGTTTCAAGTAATATGAAACAATATGCAATGGCAACTGAAACTCAAACTATGGTGCATGCATTTCATTCAAAAACAATTGTGATACTTGTAGCATTTTGATTTATTGTTACTGAACAATTTAATACTCGTAATATTTTAGGGTCATTTACAGAATATGCTCATGACATGTAGACATCAGCCTGGAGTTGGAATTCCCGAGTTTTAGGCCCCACAAAACTTTTTACTTGGGTGACATTGAGCAACCCCATCTCACAGGGCCTGAGTTTCCTCTCCTGGAAAATGAAAGGGTAGGTTAAGTGATTCCAAAAGTCCCTTACAACTCTATCATTCTCGCAGTCCATGCTTCTGTCTCCCTGGCTGCTTCCTTCTTAAGACTGTGTCTGATACTTGCTAAGTCTAAAGGTATCTCGTATCTGCTAAAGGACATTACAGTGGTCTCACAGAGCAGATAGGCTGGCTAAAGTCAGGTGTCTCAAAGCGGGTTTGAAAAGCCTGAGAGGATGTTTTAGAACAACATGAATTTTCAAACCAACCTTGTGGATAAGAAAAGTAAAAATTTATACCAGAAGTTTAAGATCATTTCAGACCACATGAAATTAAAATGCAGTAACTTAGAGTGTGTAATAGAGAGAGAGAATATAAGGTATTGAAGCAACACAAAAATGAATAAGAAATGGTTTCCAAAGGATAATTTGTGCATGTCAAAAACAATTGCTGAAAGTAAAAAATGCTATGAGACAGTTGAATATTTTTCTCTCTACAATTTAATAGTTCCTACATCACAGTGTCAGGCCCCACAGAAAAGGGGGCTTCTGGTATTATTTTCAGTTCAGTTGAACGTAAAGTCAAAGAGGATTTGGTGTTTCTCATCATTGTTGCTTTGAAGGTATGACAGGCTTGCACACACACATGTGCTGATGGGAATGAGAGAAATATTAGCAATGTTCAACCCCAAAGTAAATTGCTAATTGGATATTATCGATATTTTCTACCAAATGCTTTTGCTACGGTCCTTTCTGGCACCCTGATCTTTCCTCAAATGTGAGCCTTTGCACTTGTTAGAAGCCCTTCTTCACCATGTCTTGAGCAATCATCCTTTACGTCCTTCAAAGGCAAATCCCGTGTGTCACTTCCCAATACCCAGCATAGTTCATGTTTTCAGAACTAGAATGGAGAGAACAAGCAAGGAAAATAATGCTCACTCGCCCTGAGCATAATGAAGTGCTCACTTCTAAAATCTGGTAAACAATGACATGAGTCACAGCAATAAAGAAAAAACAAAATTATTTAAGCCTAAGAGTTATGAAGTTAATTTGAAATGACTATAAGCTTTTGTTTTCTTCACTTTGTGAAATTCTCCTTAATTAATCATACAAGGGATATAATTTTGTGACTTTGTTTTTGTGGGGAGAGAATGAAACAAGACAGACTTGGGTTTGGATCCTCACTGGCTCTGTGATTTGGACAAATTATTTAATCTTTGAGACTGTAGGAACCAATAAAAACCTTGAGAGACTGTCATGAGAATTTGGGTATGGTATGGAGCATACCTAGCAGTCAGCACTTTGTAGGAATTAATGGACGGAATATAATTGTGAGAGTCATCAGAAAAGCATCAGCAGTGGTAGCACAGCTGCAGGTATAATAACAATAGAAAATTTTAGACCTACATTTGATAATAAGTATTACAGCTCCCACATCTAATATTTAGTCTAGATTGCTTATTCCAAGAAGTAAATAGTAGCTGTAATAAAACATGATCCCTATGAATATGTATTCTGTGCAGCCAGAGGAAGGACTAATGTCCAGTAATTTTGGTCCAGCATGAGTGATGGTTTTATTTGTTTCTCAATCTGTAAAGTTTTTTCTCAGATCATAGGTTATAAAATATGAAATACATACGGAAAACATTGCAGATATTCTTAAAATTTTTCAATATTTTCCACGGTATGATCAAGTCCCTCTTTACATGAAATTAACATTCCATAAGCATTTCATTTGAATATGAAGTTGGACAAAGGTGAACCCTGTTAGTCCACAGTTTTTAGATCTGAACTAAAGGCCAGATTGTGTGTGAGGTCGTGTGAAAGAGGAACAGATTGATTATAGGAAGCAGTATTTAACCGTGCAGCTGTTGGAATACATTTGGGCCCCTATTTAAATTGAATAAGGCAGTATATTAATTTTTACACAGTAATTTAAAAAATGGGCAATTATTTAGATACTTATGAAAGAAATTTAAACATTTATTTCAGTGTTATATAATACATATATATAGAAACAAAGATGAGCATTTTTTTTTCCAGTTTAAATATCTCCTTCAAAACCTGTCTTCTGCTGTCCTTTCTGAGAGCTTGAATTTTATTAGCTACACAAAGGACGAATGAACTGCTGAATAGTTATTTCTTTCATTTTGAATCTCTTAACAGTTCATGGAAATTAGCATAATTTACCAAGCTGTAATAATTTGTATAATACTAAAATGACCAAAACAACTGATTTAGTGTTAACTTGGACACAGTCACCCACTAAAGATTAACAACAATTCAGTATCACACTAAGGTTTCTACTATTAAATTCACTTATTTCAGGCATTTGACCTAGATATATGATTTCTGGACTTTGCACATTTCATGCTAAACAATCTCTTGATTTCAAAATTTCAATGTATAACTAACTTTCAAAGGATTTATTTCATTAGACAAGAAAATTCCAAGTTTTTCTCTAAAACATTGTGTTTTTTTCATGTTTAATTAGTCTAAATAGCTTTTTCTTTTGAGAGCCATCTACAGGTATGGGAGATAGAAGGTTGCATTGGAGTGTGGAGTGTCCAGGAGATTTCCGAAAGTCTTTTTTTTGGGTATCCGTCTTGGGCATGGGGATGTTGAGGTTGGAGAGTGTAGAGATAAGAAACAAAGGTAATACCTGGCAATTCATAAAAGAGAATTTTACCATCAAATATTGTTATGAAGACCTCCCATTAAGAAAGGGAAAGTCGTTCTATGTTTATAATATTTTTTTGTTTAAAGTGTATAATAAGTTTGAGATAATTTTTGTAGGTAACATTTGATTTAAAAATATTACTGAACTTTATTTACCTAAGTAATTATGGAATAGTTAAACTAGTACTAATAAAATTCAGCTCCCCCATAAGGGTTTGGGAAGGAAATAAACTAATGAAGAAGAATGCCAGCTTCTGACAGAGGAACAGTCATGAGCAAAGGTCAAGGGTTCTCCGAATGGAGCTAGAGGTGGGAGGAAGACTGTGAGGTGCCTCTACCCTGAT